TTAAGTCTCATCAATGGAATTGCCTTCTTTCCAACCATTCTGAACTCCTGCTTTTCACCCAGCTTTCAACTTTGGTTCCAAAACGGTAACTAAAAAACGTTCCCTATATCTTTCAAATAAGAAAATCAGTTGATTTTATATAGATGAGCATGGCTCAATTGAAATAAATCATTAAGTAGATATTTGGGTTCTGAACAATTTCATGTTGAGAATATCAATGCTCTCAAATATAATTCCCTTGCTTTCCAGTTTAAAAGAGAGAAGATAAATTAATTCACCTTAAATGCTACTTATTAACTTTAATGCTATTTGGCAAATACTGCTCTTTTCATTAATTTGTTCTCTTTGAATGCATTTTCAGAATCAATATAAAATTTCAGAGTATTTAAGATTTTAATGAGCTGTTCAGCAACATATGAAATGAAGTTGTGTTTTAATCTCTGTGGTGAATGGCAGACCTTGGGACTGGATGGAAATTTCAGTGAGTTTTCATCAGCTGACTTATACATAGGCATGATAACTAGAAGGTATTTCAGAGTCCCAAATCCAAGTAATTGGACTCCTGCTTTTAAAGTTATGTTCAGTCCTTTCAGTTCAGCTCATCTCAGGACCAAGCTGCAGTTATAATGATTTATTTTGGATTACCTCATTGGGAGCAATCTGCAGAACAAGTGCATACCTTTCTTTCTGACTGAAAGAACTGGGGCTGTTTAGCCCAGGGAAAAGGAGGCTGAGGGGAAAAAATATTGCTCTCTTTCAATATCTGAAAGGTGCTTACAGCGAGAGCAGGATTGGTCTTTTCTCACTGGTGACAGGACAAGGCAAAATGGCCTCAAGTTGTGCCAGGGTAAGTTTAGGTTGGATATCAGGAAACACTTCTTTACAGAAGGGGTTGTTAAGCACTGGAATAGGCTCCCCTGGGAGGCGGTTGAGTCACCATCCTTGGATGTGTTTAAAAACCCATTTGGACGTGGTGCTCAGGGACATGATTTAGTGGAGGATTGTTAGTTAGGGTACTATGGGTCATGATTGGACTCAATGATCTTCAAGGTCTTTTCCAACCTGAGTGATCCTATGATTCTACAAAATGCTGCTGTGCTTGTGGAAACAAATCCATTTACAGCAGTCTCATAAAAGAAAAGTGAGTAACCTTCTTCCAGTGAGACACTTTGGCTGTGTCTTTCAAATACAAAAAATAAGTTGCTACTGGAATATTTCATCTCTGAGGCTTTGTGGAAGACAGCTAGTGGCCATTCACACCATTTCAACCTCTTGAAGAGAAAGTGTTTCCCAGGAAAAATGACATACAGATACCCTACACTGACATCAGCCTCTGCTACAAATCACAGCTGAAGCTGTATTAGAATCTGCATGACCTCAAATAATGATAGCAACTTTAGGAATGCATAGTCTGGCCACACGAAGACAAATCATGACCCTCATGGCACCAGTCACAATCAGATTTAGCTTCTCCCTTCCTCCTGCATACAACTGCACCACAATAGATGCTTTAGGTTCCTCCTCTCTTCTATTGATGTGATCGTGTTCCTTAGGGAAAACAACATTTTGCTATTATTAGTTAGCATCCTGACACTGATTCTTCTGCTGGGAGCCCTTTAAGGATGGAGAGTGACTGAAAACAGTGCCATGCCTTCTGTGAAGGCAAGGCAATCAAACCCTTGTGTGAGCTCCTTGATGGCAATGCTACCCACACACAGACTCTAAGACCCATAAAAGGAAAAAAAAAAAATCCAGCCGAGATGTAATGAAACCCTTAATTAATGATTACACATCCTCCTGTGAGATTCTTGGTAGCAGCTTTGCTGATTTTTAAGATGCCAATATGGCATTTTTGATATACACTAACTGAAAAAATACTTTGGTGTCAATGAATGACCCTAACTTCTTGTTCAAAGGAGCACAGACATAGGACTGGCAATTCCAACTTGTGTTTTTGCAGGTTTTTCAGTCTTGGAAACTTTCTTAAATACATGGCTGTCATTTTGACATCCATGTGAAACAGTAACAGTTTCTTTGGGGTCTTATAAGTCTGAAAAACAAAGTGGGCTCCTGTTGACAAAGAACACCACAGAGCTGCTCCCACAGGACCTCAATGTACAACCAACTGGCTGCGAATGAAGTGCATAAAATAGAAGAAAAAAAAACCTGAAACCATGTCATGCCACAAAACAATGTCTTCAGTGCTTGAAACACATCAACAAATCTGCTAGAAGGGAAAAGGAAAACAACCCAAGAAAAACATCCCAAACTAATTTATCAGCAAAAGACTTCAGAAGATCATGTTTTCACAGTGGTTTCAAAGTGAAAAGCAAGATTTATTGTCACTGCCTTCACAGAGGTATTCACATAGAAGCAGTAACTTTATCCCAGAGACAAAATGTTCGAAACTAGTTGATGCTTCCAAAGGGAAATAGAGCTGCTTTTCTGTCTCACAGATCCTGCTGGCTGCCAGTGTTGACACAAAACTTACTCTTGACCGAACTCCCTGAATGCTCAGCAAGCTCAGCAGGGTGTTGTAGCTTGTTTTGTTTATTTATAAGTGTAGCAAGTTTCCTACAGTAGCTGCTACCACATTTAAATGATCTTGGCAAGAGCAAGGCGTGCAGAATACATTGTGAAGGAGGGCCATGTCATTGCCTGGCAAGCAATTTTGTGGAGTTTTTTTGTTTTTTTTTTTTGTTTTTTTTTTTTTTTAAGTCCAGAACGCCATTTTTCCAGCCTCTGCTAAGTGTTACTATTTCTGAGGATATTTGCAGTAGGTAAAAATGGTAGGAGTGCTAGCAGAGAGATAAACAAGGACTCTGGAAAAAAGTCTTGCTCTGACCTTGAGGCTAAGGAAAATACTGAGGGCTCTCTAGGCAGGCTTTTCTTTCTCACTACGACTGCTCACAACAGAAGTACTTTACTCAGCATTTCCTAAAGGTATTGTAAAAGTCATAGTATTTCAACAGCCCATAAAGCTAACGAGGAAGAATTTTAAAATTGAAGAGTATTTTCCTGGATCTGTAGTAAGTCTACAATTAAAACAACAGCATCTAAATCTATCCAAGTTTACCTTCAGAGGAAGCAGGAATATCTTTCATATCAAGTATGTGCAAATGAAACACCTCATCATGAAAGGAGCCAGAAAAAAAGTCTCTTGGAAAGTAAAATTCAAGTTCCTTGCAAAGCTTATAGCAGTCAAAGTCTAGTACAGCTGGCTACAGAGTCAATAAAGTTGGGAGTGACTCTGGAGTGTTCATTCTGGCAGCATGATGCTTCACAAAGGTGAAAACCACATTTTAGATTTCACACAGACTTCCCCATCAGCTACTACAGACTGTGCACTAGCTATTTCATATGATTACGATGGGAAACTCCAGCTATCAAGTAATGAACATGTTGATTTCAAAGTCTGAATGTTCTCAGTCCACCTACACAGCACTTTCACACCATAGCGCACACTGCTGCTATTTGTTGGTTACCGCATTGCTTTGTTTTTGAGAAGTAACTAATTAGTGAAATTACTTACAAGCCCCATGCTGTGCATGTCAGGCACAGAGTCACCTCAAAGCAACATGACTTTAAAAATCATGCTAGTGACCCTCTTTGAAGCACAGTTATGAAGTTGTGTGTCCTGCCTGCAGGTCAGGAAATAAACTACAACCTCTCTGCATACATCAGCTTCTTTCTACTAGCTATGCTCAATAACAAAGTATAATTGGAATATATACTTAGGGATCCAGCTGGCTACAGATCACTTTACAAACTGATTCACAAATGATGCGTCACCTAAGAAGTAATTCAGCACTTGCTGAACTGGCAGCTGTGCACAGGACAGTAACAACAAAATGACGTTAGACACATATCCAGAGGCACAGCACCAAATGCCATAAAACAAAAACAGTAAATTTTCAGTGTTAGAAATTGCTCTCAGTTACCCCAGAATGATCAAAGCTTTTTATTTTATTATTATTTTAGAAATCTTTAAATTATTAAAATCAAGTAAACATAGTTTGAAGTTCTACAGGTAGCATGTTCCAGCTGAATGAGATAAGTGAAAAATGTAATTTATTTTTCCTCACCAGAGTTTTAGGAGATGCCAGTGTGATAGAATGATTCTGAGAAGAAAGGAAATAAATAAACATAACAAGGCAAAATAATTAGACTTCTCTATTCCCACTTCGATTTACTCTTTAGAAACTCTCAGCCTAAAATACCCCCATCCTGTGAAAAATAATTCAACGTTCATGGCTGCTCAGTATGCAAACATGCTTTCTGTACTTGTGAACTATTCAAATCAGTAATTATACTGATACTAGAAAAAGATACTGGTATCAGTGTTAGATATTTGTTTACAAATGTTTTCTATACTGTAGAGTAAACTATCAAGAATGTGAACCTGATTTCCCTTTACTCAGTGATATACAAGAAACACACAATTAAAGCTGTCCATCACTAAAACAGAGCCTTTTTGCTGTGGAGCCACCCATTTGCTGTAATTGTAAGATCTTCACTTCTGATGGAATAACCAGAAGCCGAATTCTGACCTCAGTCACAGTGGCCCAGGTTTATCTCACTGTAATAGAGGTTAGAACCTCAATTAAATATTCCGTATATGCACCCATATAAATGTAATGCCAACTAGCAAATCAGAACAAGACTAGCATCCTAATTCGTTTATTTCCATTTGTAGTTTGCATGGTAAATTTATTGCAATGATTCATGCTCTTTCTCCTGTCCTCACTTTCTTTTTCACCTTTGCTCTCCAAGAGCATTACTGATTTCTCCCCTCTTTGAATGCTGTATGATCTGGCAAGTCAAAGGGGACCATTTAAATTGTGAGGATTGGACTAGGACATAACCTTGGGAAGCAGCACTAAAGAAAGGCCACTTCTGGGCAAGATCGTTGCTATACTAGCACTGCTGTTAAACCTTACAAAACCAAAGCCCTTTTCAGAGACTACTGTTGAAAGCAGCTGATGAGAAGGAGCACCTACCTGAAGACAGCCAGGCTCAGGGACCAGAGCACTAGTGGTTTCCTCAGTTCAAATTTTGCTCGTTTATTCATTAGGTGCCGACCACCAAATATGAAGGCAGCGTACAGTGCTGAAAATAGAAAAGATTTCTTCCTGCAAAACAAAAACAAACAAAAAAACACCTGTCAAGAACTGAATTAGTATCAGATAGCAGAGTCACAGCTGGACATAACTGCCAAGTACTTATGTGTTTCCTTGAAAGGAAACTCTGCAGAAGACATCCCTGCAGCCCAGTAGAGATTTCTGTTCTTGTAGAAATCTACACACCAGCATATAGGTCCAGGTATTACCTCAAGCAAAACTGACCCTGGGGTAGTTCTCCCCCAAAGGACAGCCACATTTAGCTCTCTGTCTTCTTCAGTTTACAAAGACTGATCTTCTGTGAAGATCAGAATAGACACTAGAGAGCTCGTGTGGTCTTCTACCTTCTACAAGCACAAGGTGAATGCTTCATGAGGTTTTGTGACTTGTTTGTTATTTTCATATCCTATTTCCCGGTACTTGGCAATTTTGTTTCCCACTGTTTCTTACAAACAGATACTTAAAGATCTTGAACATTTCCAGGCAGTATGGCTCTCCCACCAGATGCAAGAGGTCAACAGCCCCATTAAGCTGCAATGATGCTATGTCATGCCCTGCTTACAACTGCCACTGTGGGAACTCCAGTGAATGTGCTGACAGGTCATGCAGGGCTCTGCTGAGGAACTTCAGTGATACTGGTTAAACTGCAAGCCTTAATTTTTTAAAATGCCTGACAGTAGCCCGGCTCAGCAATAATCAGCAAGCATTTGAACTCTGGTACTATAATTCATTGCAAATCAACCACTGGATGTCAGAAACGGACTCAGTCTGGGATTTTTTCCCCACACATCACTATATTATGCAGAGTAAAACACCATTAATGTACAGCTCTAATGGTGGCCTGACTAGGTGGCTTTATTTATTAGCAGATTTTCTCTATTTTCTCTATATTATTGTATATAATTATATACAATATATATAGTTATATATATTATTATATACAATAATATCAGTGGAATATGGCTTTGCATCAGGAGGTGTTGGTTCTTTCTGAATCCCTAAAGGAAAGACACACACACACACACTTTCAAGAAAGCCAACTATTTTATCAATATCCCAGGAAAGGTGACAGCAAGCAACAAGATCTCACGTCCCTCCTGACACAGAAAGAAGGAACACTGTTGTCTTCATAACTGTACTGGACTTCTTTCTTCCTCAGCAAGATACACCATAATAATTCACACTAGGTGATATTTCATTTTAGTCCTTATAACTGAAATTATTTCTTGTGAGTTCAGTCAGCTGAATAAGGTCAAGAGCCAGATTACACTAATTAGAACAGATTAATTTTAGGTCACTTTACTAGCTTCTTAATGAGTTCAGCATTGTCTGCAGTGATTGCAAACAGCATTCCCGTTGCACACAGCTCGGTGCTGGCAGTACTAGACATGAGGTGTGACTGCTTGCATGATGTGATGCAGAGAGCAGCTGGAAGCTGCTTCAGACAAGGAGTGAGGTGGCACCTATTTCTTACAGAGAGAAGAACAATACTGAAGGAGGATTAGTTTGACTTTGAATGCAATTTATTTTTATTTTCGATGACTCCTGATGACTTTTGATAACTTTACTTTTGCCAGCCAAAGGTCTTAGAATTTTCCACACTCTGCAGCATAATAGCAGATAAAGGACTGGTAAGTCCAGGTGATACAGTTACAAAGGAATTGCAGAAGTATGTACTCTTATTAATCTGTTAAACAGCATTAGATTGATGTTACCCAGCCTCCTAGCAATAATTTTGTGATAGGCATCCATGAGAGATTCATGACTACAGACTGGTTCCTGGACTGGAGATACAAAGCAACAGCAATCTCACAGCTTTTAGCCACAGAGGGCTCATACCAAATGAGGCTTTTTAAAGACAGAGTTTTGGGGTCATTCAACAGCACTGCAACTTTTCATTACTGCTTTCTGTAGAGACATTAAATAAAGCAGAACAATAACAACAACCTTGAAGCTTAGAAAAAATCCAACCCCCACGTAACTCTGTGGCAGACTCACATCCATTAGCTTCAATGCTAGCACATTCATGTGTTTGTAGTCAACACTGTTCTTCAGGGTAACACAGCAGACATAAAGACAAGGCTGCCAAATCCTCCACATTTTTCTGACATTTCTGTTTCTCGCAGTTGTCTCCCACCTTCCTACATTTTCAGACTTCAGGGACTAAGTACTATCTATACTGAATACAACTCCATATCTTGCTGTAGAAAGCTGCCAGCTTGTTCCCCCAGAAGGGAGGCAGAGGAATTTTCTAGAGGAGCTGTAAGATGCCCTGCTCTGTCTGAACATTCCTGTGAAAAGAGAAAGGTTGAAAACGCAGGTGGCATCCCTCACCTAAATAGACTAATACTAATAGACTCAAGCTGCCAACGCTGCACAAAGTGCTTCATTCACTGTCTCATAAAAATTCTAAAGCAGGGACATGCTATGGTACTACCTTCAGCTGGAACACAGCCTACAGTGTTTGACTGACCCTCTGCATTGTGTAAATCAAAGTGAGATTTTATTTTTTATAGAAGGTTTGCATACTTATACACTTTCCAGAGGCTCACATCCTTCATTAGATTTGCTGCCCGTTAGAGCAACAGAGACAGGAAAGAAGAGAAGGAAAAGAAGCAAAATTGAGAAGTGAGAGGCAGAAAGAAGTGATTTAAAAAACACTGAAAAGAGAAGAAATGACATAGCATTCAAAAATAACAGCCCAAGGCCTTGCGATGAGCCTCACATACAGCAGCACGAGCCAATCTGGCATCTGTGATGTGAAGTGAGATTACTCTAAACATTGCAGTGCCTCCGACAAGGTGTTTGCAGCCCAGATGCACTGTTGTCACTTTCTTATTCTGAAAATAGCAGCCTGAGCCACTGTTGTAGAGCTTTCTGATACTAACGAGGAAACTGATATAGATATATAGAATTTAATACCTTCAAAGAATTTTCCTTAACTGTTATGGAAATCCTTACAAAAACACACAAAGGACAACCTTCGCCGATCTTTGAATTACTCCCTATAAGGTAACACAGAATTAGCCCTGTTATGGCACTCAGCAGGGGCACAGTAAAGTGAAGCAGGGTTATCCGCTTCAGTTTACCTCCTATAGTTTTTTAGACATGCTTTTTATAAAGATGTATTTACTTTCCGCACGCAAACCTCATCCTTAAATTCATTACCACTTCTGCATAAGCAGTTAAAGGCAGTGCAACAAGTCAAAAAAAAAAAAACAAAAAAAACCAACCACAACCACATCCCAATAGCCAGAGCAGAGGCAGTTTCAGGGTCCTGATGTTTTCCTTGTTGCATTCTTCATCAGCATTTACAAAAAAAACACATTTCACTAAAAAGAAACACACACACACAAAACAAAAAAGCTTGGTAAGATGAAAGACCTGACACCTTCCTTACCTGCTTCTTCCAGCTTTCAACAAAGAAACCAGTTGTGTCTATTACTAAAACTCCAACCTTGAGAGCCTAAAGCAACTGTAATACCATAACATGATAGAAAGTACAGTGATAATAGCGGAGTAGCAAAGTCTTCAGCTGCAGCAAAAAAGGACAAGCTCAAATGCAGCAAGCCCTTAAATTAGGTCTGGGAAGGAGTGGATCCTGGCTCCACCCCTTCTGGTACCTTGCATGCACCTGAGCTCCCCTGGGTTGGCCCTGCCTTCCCACCAGGTGCTCAATCACTGGTTTAGGCTGTGGCATAGCATTTCTGCTACAGCAGCATAAATCACACAAGTGTCTCCATGACCATGGTCCACTAGCAGCCTTGGCAAAGGAACTTTGTCTTGGAGGCTTGTGTAAGTATTGTACATTTTGCGTGTACAAAAAAAAAACAAAATGGTGTGAAAATGCTTCACAGTCTCTCAGGGTGTCTACTTCAAAAACGCTGTCAAAGCAACCCTTTCTCTCCCTCTTCTCAGATTCAGCCCTGACAGACCCAGCACAAAAAGAAGCGATGTGTCAGATGTGTGCATGGAAACACAGTCTGAGAGCTGGCACTGCTGCCTTTGTTTCCCATTGACCATACCAGCCCTCATAAAGGAGAAAAAGTGAAATGCAGAAGACAAAGACCAGCCCAAAATGCACATGGCAACACAGACCAGTTTACTCCTACAGCCTAGCCATCTTTTGACATTTATATTTAGAGCAGCCAGGGCGAGTCAGACATGCGATAGGTGACTCACCAATGACACTCTTTGACGTCACAGGCTACTGGAATGTAAACAGGGATACATCTCAGAATAATCATCTGATTTCCAAATCTTGCCTCTCAAGGAGTGCTCAGACCTCTAACACCCCTGTAAGGGGCACTGCTGGATATGTGAGGGCTGTTCATCCCAGCAGCCAGGGCAGCCCTCCCTGCACCTCTCTGCCAGGGCAAGAGAAGAGGAATCCCAGAACAAGTCCCAGGCAGAGTCCACTATCCCTACAGCTGCCTTTTCACTGGGGTCTTATATCCATCATCACATTTATGGCATTATCAACATACAGAAACTGCATCCTCAATCCACAGGCTCAAATCCATTGGAAAAGCTGCTTGGTTTAAAGGGAACTGAACATTTTTTTGTGGTTTACCACAGAAACACAAGCATCTGTGATCCAGCTGGGTGCCTACCTACAGATTCATTCCCCATCACCAGCCTGTGTGGGCACTGCTCCTGGGCAGGTAGGGTCAGGGAGTGAGGGGCCACATCCTCCTTGTTAGCCATAAACTAAAGTGAATGCAGCTAGGGAAGAAAACAACAACAGGGAACCTTATAATTTGCTTTCCTTTTGCAGGGGAAATGTTAGAGAGGTGTAAAGGTGCTAAAATGAAGTTAAAATTCATGGAAAATGTTTTAGATAGAATAGTCAAACTCAGTTGTAAAGAACATGAAATCCCTTGGTCTTTGTTATCTTATAAGCTTAATGAAACAAACTACAAACCCTTAAAGCATATAAGCTACAATCCCAAATATCTGCAATGTCATGAGAGAAAAATTACTCCTCAAGTCGAAAGCAATGCAGAAAACAA